ATAAACTCAGTAGACATTTGGTGAGTGGATGAATGAAATCATGTATGGCAACTTTTGTTGTTTGTATTTAAAAAAAATATATTTTATTGATTTTTTTACAGAGAGGAAGGGAGAGAGAGAGCTAGAAACGTCAATGAGAAAGAAACATCGACCAGCTGCCTCTTGCACACCCCCTACCGGGGATGTGCCCTCAACCAACGTACATGCCCTTGCCGGAATCGAACCTGGGACCTTTCTCAACCAACGTACATGCCCTTGCCCAGAATCGAACCTGGGACCTTTCAGTCTGCAGACCGACACTCTACCACTGAGCCAAACCGGCTTAGGCTGTTGTTTGTATTTAAAGAATGAGTTAGAGAAAAATAAATAAGTCCTTCTCGGGCAATTCTTTTATATTTCTGAATGTACCACCACATTTCAAAAGTTTACCTAAGTAGGTAGATTATTGTCTATTCTTATATTAAACCTCCATCTTTCTATTAAATCTTTCATTACTTGAGGTCACTTGAATATTTTTTTCTTTGCAATTAAAAAAAAAATCCTAACAGCTGCATTTGGCTCAATACATGCTTTTCTACATCCCTCAATTCTAATCATCCCAGTCATTATCTATTCCCTATTGCCTTGTATTATTTTTATTTGTAGAGCATATTCCTATCTAAAATTATGTATATACTTTTTAAAGTTTTAATGTATGTTTAGAATACATGAAGAGTAGAAATGATGAGTCCTGGTGCAGGTGCTAAAGTGCTTTGTTAAGTTATACATTAGGCTCTAGTTACAGTGAGTTCCAGCCAGTGCTCAGACAGTGTGGTGAGGAGCAAGACTGTCTGTAGTTGAATCTTGGCTCCTCCTTTTACTAGCAGCATGAACTCAGTCAAATTACTTACCCTATCTGGGCTATGTTTTAATGATACCTTTCACGTAGTGTTGTTTTGAAGATTACATTTTTAAAATACACATAAAGCTCTTACAACAGTACCTGGCACATAGTAAGCATTCAGTTTTATCACCATGCCTGTCTTCCAAGTAGCTGTAAATGAACTTGTTTTCTGATTGGTTTACCGTGTGGAAGGGAGTATTTGGTACAGGATCGTTGCAATCTTTATTGCATCCTTCTATCCCTGTAGGTCAAACTGTAATTCTACCCCATTCTCATTCCTCCCCCTGCTCCATTTTCTTCCACATTGCCTGATAGTGTATATTTTTCAGTTTGCTTTTTTCTGACAGTCCCTTTCTAACTATGTTTTATGTATCTCCTATAGCTGTGGTCGGGTTGGCAGAGAAATTAAAGAGACTTTCTTGTTCATACTTGATGCCATGCCTTTATATATGCAACTCAAAGCTACATTGTCTGCTTTGTTGTCCATATTTTCATGTTAAATTACATTTAGTTTATTACCTACTAAAACCCCCAAATTCACCTCATCTGCATTTGCTTGTGTTGCATTTCCCCCACTTCATGTATAACATGTGGCTTAACATATCATTTGCTGTGATTTGTAATGGACACTAGATACCTTCTTCAAGGGGTTTAGAATTTCCTGGGATTCTAAGCATACAAACGGAGACTTGTAATAAAGTGTTATTGTGACAGTTGTTCTAATAAAGATGTGCAAAGGTGAATGGTAACACAAAGGAAGGACACCTAACTCTCATAGTTAGAGAGAAGGTGAGGGTATGATGATTCATATGATGGTGGTAGGGTGGTTGGGAAGAAGTCAGAGTAAGGCACATGGAGGAGAGAATGTTTGTCATAGGCTATACATAAGACCCTAGCCACCAAGAGTATGGGAGGAACAAACTTTTTCAGAAGAGGGTACGGCTTGTAATGTAAAATGAATCAGAATGGACAATTTAGGAGCTACACTTTGCTGAGGGTGATAGATCATAGACAGCCCATGGAGGAGTTGGTGGTGGAGATGCTGATTAGGCAAACAGGTACCAGGTCCTAAATGGCTTTCCATGTCATAGTGGAAAGTGAATCCTTAATCTTAAAGCATTAAATATTTTAGATTATGGAAGGACATAATTAGATTGATGTGGTTTTAAAGAACACCAGGCTGCTCACCTGTATAGTGTGATCTGTGAATTAAAGGAAGTGAGACTAGAGGTATAATGACCACTGGAGAGGCTATTCCTTGTCACACAAGTAAGAAAAAACATGAAGTCCTGACTAAGGCATGGCCTTAGAAATGGGAAAAAAAGGAAGTTTTTGAGAGATTTAAAAGATAGATATGGCTTGGCTGGTGTGGCTCAGTGGTTGAGCAGTGACCCATGAACCAAGAGGTCCTTGGTTAGGGTATATGCCCCAGGTGCAGGCTCGATCCTCAGTAGGGGGCATGCAGGAGCTGCTGATCGATGTCTCTATCAGAGATTCTTCTATCTATCTACCCATCTCCCTTCCTCTCTCTCTAAAATAAATAAAAACATTTTAAAAAAAGATAGATATGTATTGAGCACTTGGGCATTTTGGATTTGATAATCACCTTGACCATTTGGACTTGATAATCACCTGTATGTGGCAGGGAACAGAGGAGCTGAGGCTCAGCCCCAGGTTTGAGGGACTGAGCAGATAATGATATTATTAAGAAGAAATGGAAAATTGATTCGAGAGAGGAGAAGGCTTCCCTTTGGGACCTATCACCTTTGAGCATCTATGGGACATATAAATGGAATGCAACTGTAGGCAATTGGCTTCTGTATCAGGAACACATTAGATAATTTTGTGCTAAAAAGTGAACCTGTCAATCTTACATCTATAGAAGTCAGTTGAAACATTGATATGCATTGAATCAACCAAGAAAGGGCTGAGGGTAAATAATAAAGTGATCCTAACATAATAGTATAATAGTATGGTGAAGAGTAGCCCTAGAAAATTATTTTGAAAGAAATGTCAGTTGGGGAGTTGGCTAAGACCCAGGAGAAAGTGGTGGCATAGGAACTATGTCAGAGAGTTTACAGAATATTTTGTAATATTAAGTGGTGTTGGACATGGCAATAGAAAATGTGCTTTTCTATTAAGTGGAATCCAGAGCAGGTGCCCCTCTAGGTAGACTGCCTCCTTTTGAAAAAAGCTGCCTAGGAGAGTTTCCTTCGATCTTTGAGGCCTAGTCCTTGTAGGCTCTGATATTTCACATTCCTGTTGAGAGTTGTGACTGTTTTAGTTTGAATAGGGATAAAAAAATTCTTTCTTTTTAGAGAAAAGAACCTAGGTAGAAATGACTTTGCTCTGTAAAAGTAAAAATGACTTTACTTTTCATAGTATTTAAACAGAGTTACTATGTTTTCTTTTAAGAATTTTAGTTAGCTAGAAAACAGCAACACTTTTTATTTTTCCACTTAACCCTCAGTTTCCCATGCATTTTGGCTATGGGTTTTATTAGAGCAGAAGCAAAGCATGTTTATCTCATTGTCCCCAGGGCCCAACCCAGATTCTTGGCTTATAGAAATTATTAACAAATACTTATTTTTGCCTTCCTTGTTTATGGTTACATAATTCCAATTTTTAGGGTTTCCAAGGTTCTTTTGAATCTTTTACCTATCAAAATCTCATGTCATTGAATTATGCCAATTCATCTTCTGTGTTTTATTAATGCTACTCTTTTGATCTGCTTAAAGTTTAATATCTTTTCTCTCTCCTCAAATGTTCAAGTGAAATGAGAACTTATCTTAAGGCTTTATTTATACCACAACATTGGAGGGTGGAAGTTGAAATAGAGCCAGGCTTCAGGACATTTGGGATTGAAAACAAAAACTACCAGGATATTTCTGCTGCTCTTTCACTTCCACAAGGGCTTCTAATTCTTCTTCTCTTCATTTTCTTTCTCTTTCTTTCAAGTCTTAATTTTGAAAATTTTCAATTAAATAGAGTATAGTATAGCCAAATTCATTTTTAACCTTTTAATGTTAACTGTCAAGAACTTTATGATGCCATAACTTAGAGTCTGATTAATGTAACATCTGTTCCATAACCAATTCCTCCATGTTGGTCAGAAATAAGCTGAGAGTAAGTTTTGGCAGATTCCTTGCATCCCTTCTGGGAGACAGAATTAGCACTAATGATGTCATGAGACTTGGAGGTGGTGGTCAGATGAGAGGCTTCCAGGATCACTGCTCTATCTTCCATCCTCTGATCAGGAATGCATTTATCCTATCTTCCCAGGTGACTTATTATATGCTTCCCAAAAAAACCCTCCAAAAAACAAAAACTATTACCAACAACAACAACAACAAAAACAATCCCCAAACACACCAAAATCCCAAACTATGGGACTTATTGAATGAAGAAAGCCTATGCTATATTTCAATTTAAGTAATGTTATATTTGGAATTTTAAGCTTCTCAACAAAATATGATTTTGCTGCTGTTCCCTTTTGCTAATCTTTTCTATGACTATTGCTAGGGGATGATAAAATTTGGTAGGTTATGTGACTATTCAAGGTTAACTTCACTTTCTCAGAGCTCTGCAAATTTAGTGCTTATTATGACTGGTGGGAAGTAGTGGAACCAACAAGGACATTTGCCTGCTCTCCTCATTTGCAGAGAGGTATTTCCCATGTGCAGGATTCTTTTTTCAGAAATTTTACTATTCATAGGTATTATAAAGTGAGAAATAAAAAGAAATCTTCTAGAGGAAAAGTTTTATAAGAGAAGAAAGAAAATGTCTGAGCTCATCACCCTATTTCTAGACTCTGTGTATATTGCATTTGAACATTATTCTCCTTTCCTTCCCCTGTGCTATTTAAATTGTACTTATAAAAATAAGTTGGGTCTTTCTTATCTAATGAAATGGTTTGCTTAATAATTGACAAATACCTTGTTTTTGAGTAGGAAGGAATCAGCATTTGAAAACTTTGTAATTTCAGATTTTTTGTTGACATAAAGTCAGAGCTACAGTATGATTATGTTCTTAGTATATAAGTAATTGATGATCAAGTTCATGAAGGTGAGCCATTGTACTGCTTTATTTTCTGAAAGTGTGTGTCATTTCTTTTCAGGGAATCAGCAGTCTGTTCAGTTCTTTGAAAGTGGTGCGTCTCTTGCGACTGGGCCGTGTTGCTAGAAAATTGGACCATTACCTGGAGTATGGAGCAGCCGTCCTCGTGCTCCTGGTGTGTGTGTTTGGACTTGTTGCCCACTGGCTGGCCTGCATATGGTACAGCATTGGGGACTACGAGGTCATTGATGAAGCCACGAACACCATCCAAATAGACAGTTGGCTCTACCAGCTGGCCTTGAGCATTGGGACTCCATATCGATACAATAGCAGTGCAGGGATATGGGAAGGAGGACCCAGCAAGGACTCACTGTACGTGTCCTCTCTCTACTTTACCATGACAAGCCTTACAACCATAGGATTTGGAAACATAGCTCCTACCACAGATGTGGAGAAGATGTTTTCGGTGGCCATGATGATGGTTGGCTGTAAGTATCTTGCTCTCTTTAAAACATTTTCCTTCTTTACAAACAATGGTTGGTGACAGTTTTCCAGGTTCTAAGTTCTGTCAGGATTAAAATGAAGCTGCTTTGTTTTCAGAAATGTGTTTAATCTGTATTATTTGCACTGGTTTACTTTTTATTCATCTTTAGAAAATAAATGCAAAATAATATATCTTACTTTTTAGCATATATTGAGCATTGAGACGCCATATCCAACACTCTAGGTTGGATATATGCCTATTTAAGAGAATGTAAGGATTAGTAAATATAAACCTATTCAGCAATGACAAGAGTAGCTAGGATGTAGCACGAGTACATGAGTACTAAAAGAGTCTTCTTGGGAGTAGAATGTTCTCTAAAGGAGCCAAAGACCATGTATTCTACACTCAGAGAGACCAGATGATGACCGAAGACCAGATCATTAAGGAAATACATACCCAAGAAGCTGTTGTAAAAGAAAATCTTAGGGAGTAGTCACCATTATTCACATCTTCCAATGGACTTAGGTGATTTGTCCAAATCTATTTCTGATACCTAAAGTATCCTTAAGATCATTGTACTGGAGTTTTGATTAGTGTTATTGGCAGCATTTAAGCCTTTGGATCCTGGTAATTGTTTTTTGGTCTAAGGCACCCTTTTTAAGGTTTCACATTGCAGAGTTTTACATTTTGACTCTGATTCCAGGAATGTCAGCTGGCCCAGGAAGGCTCAATATCTTGGGTTTAAGCAAAGTAGTTTTCAGAGTTCTGAACATCTGAGAGCTATTGGAGCACCTAGGCTAATAGCTGTTTAGCTTCTGTCCCTCTGCCTCCTTTGTATAGGTATAGAAACACGAACTTATGGGTTCTATTTGCTTGTTAAAGGTAACAGAGGGAGAGTGAGAATTCCAAGTGTTGTTTGCTCCAGAGGCTTTTAGGAGAAAAAAAAATGTTCTTACATACAAAGAAATCCTAATGATTAATTAAACTGTTGCCTACATACCAAAAATGGTAAGATGTATTGGCAAAAAGGTGCTTTATAAATTCAGAAGACAACATTTTGTCAAATGTAGAATTTATTGTTATACTACTTTTAATATTTAATTAATTTTGCCTTACACATGAGCATAATTTGATTAAAAAATTTATTTCAAGTAATTATATATTCACTGAAAGTTGCAAAGACAGTACAGAAAGGGATTTTGTGTTCTCTGCCTGGTTTCTTCTAGTAGTTCCACCTTATCAATCTCTAGTACAAGACACATACTGACATTGGTGCAATGTGTGTATCTTTCTGTGGTGATCTATCATGTGGGTAAATTCCTGTCACTACCATGGAAATCAAGATACAGAATAGTTCTATCACCACAAATATGTCCCTCATGTAACTGATCTATAGTCACACCCATCCCTATCCCTTGGTAACTATTGATGTGTTTTTAATCTGTATACTTTTTTTTAATTGGGAATGTTATATACATAGAATCATACAAAATGTGACCCTTTAAAATTGGTTTTTCCCACTTAGCATAATCTCCTGGAGATCCATCTAAGTTGTTGAGTATATCAATAGTTTGTTCCGTGGTATTTCTGAGTAGCATTTCATGGTTTGGGTATAGTGCTGTTTAATGGACATTTTGGTTATTTCCAGTTTGGGGCTATTACACATAAAGCTGCTATGAGCATTCATGTACAACTTTCTGTTTAGACATAAGTTCTCAGTTCTCTGGGATAAATACCTAGAAATGTGATTACTGGGACATATGGTAAGTGTATATTTAGTGTTTCTTTTAAGAATTTGGCAAACTATTTTGCAGAGTGGATATACTAGCATGGTTACATTTTTCCACAAAAGAATAATAGGAAAATGAAATCTATGGAGAGTTGAAGGGTACCATTATCATTTTGTTTCTAAGGCCCACAAACCTGGAAATTATCCTAGATATCTGTTTTTATTTTGTGTTTCATCTAATCATAACAAGCTTTGCTGGCTTTACCTTCAGAATACATTTGAATCTTTACATTTCCAAACCTGCCACCCAAGACCAAGTCACCACCATCACTGGCCTGCAGGTTTGCAGTAATCTCATGTGCTTCTTCTGTTTCTACTGTTGTCCCACATCCCTACCCACAGTGGCCCTTTAAGTAAATGAGATCACACGATTCCTTTGCTCAAATCCCTCCTGTGCTTTTGCATGCACATAAAGTAAAATTCTGATTTTCTATCACTGCTATCAAAGCCTTAATGGCCTGACCCCTTGCCTGCATCACCCACTTCACTGTCTCCCATTCCCATCCTTGTTTATTCCTCTCCCTCCAGGCAAGCCATCTTGATATCTCTACACAAGCAAGCTGAGTCCTGTCTCAGGGTCTTTGTATTTGTTTCACCCACTGCTTATAACACCCCTGCCATGTATTATGTCTTGCATCCATGCAGATCTATACTCAGATTTCCTCTACAGAAATTCCTCCCAATGCTGCCCTACTGGAAAAACCACCCTAATGCCAACCACCTTTGTTCTCTGCTCTTTTACCTTTTCCTTCTTCCTTGTATGGACCAAGTCCTGAAACCACATTGACTCTGTTTTTCTTTTCCATCAGTATGGAAGCTCCATGAGAGCAGTTGTTTATACCCAACTTAAAAACAGTTTTTAATATCATGCTCAATCTGTATTTGTTGTATAAATGGATGAAATTGAAGGCGTCCCTGATGGTCATAGTGAGGTTCTCCTGTCCTTAAGTCCACTTCAGTTAGGTCTCTGATGAAGATACATGCCAGAAAAATGCAGTTTTTGAATTTTGGCCCCGATTCCTTTGTGGAAGTCTTGGTGACCTCATCTGTATTGTTTGCCTCTGGAGTGCAGTGGTCTCTTTAGCTGGATTTTGCCTCACCCTAAGTCTCTCAATAGGCCTAGTCAGTAGGAGCTGTTACCTAAGAAGCACCAACAATTCCTTCATCACTTTTTATTGTTTACCTCCAGAATCTGCCTACATTGGAAATTTTCACATAGATTCAGTCAAGTTTTCAAAATTTCATTTGATTCAGAATTGGTCCCATTCCTTTTCAACTTCATGTGTGGCCAATTATATTACTATATGTACATTTTCTTATTCTCTTTTCCTTCAGTTCCTATCTTGATTTTATGATGGAGACCTGGTCTTAAAGTTGCGTCTTTTTCTGAGTTTTCCCTATATCCTTTCAACATCTGAGTTGTTTTCTGTTTAGAAACGAATTTCTGACATCTTTTGCCTGTTGATTTAGATTTTATTTTTATGTCTCTGAATAAATTTCAATCTCTATAGCCAGAGTGTTCCTAGGAGATGCCTTTTAATTTTCTTCTTTGACCCGGGTCGTTAGTAATTTTATGGCATGCTTCCTTTGCAACAACCTAAGAAGATAATAGAAAACTGTCAAGACCCATGAAGTGTTATAGTAACTTCCCACAATTCCAAAATTTATTAGATACACATGCACAGAACATCAACCAAATTGGCAGTTGTAGTTGTTTGAAATCTTAGTCTAATTTTCCTCCCTACAATAACACCAAGGAAAACAGACAAAACAAACCACCCGTGTTTCCAGAACCACCCAGAATCAGTATGTGTTATCAGCCATAGATGTAGCCAGGGGTTTAATGGTAGTAGTGTGGTGTGTGTGTGTGTGTGTGTGTGTGTGTGTGTGTGTGTGTGTGAGAGAGAGAGAGAGAGAGAGAGAGAGAGAGAGAGAGAGAGAGAGAGAGAGAGAGAGAAGGAGGGGGGAGAGATTGAGAGAGAGGGAAAGTGAAGAAGGAGAAAGAAAACAGAAAGGCTGATGCTGACGCTTTTGGTTGTGCTAGGATTCTAGTCAATCCATGCAGGCTGTTTGAGAAGCATCACTTGCAACCTTATAACAGAGAAAAATGTTTTATCAGAAGATTGTTGGAGCTAAAAATTACTTTTATTCTGCTGAAGAAAATAATCACTACTTATAAATGATAGCCTCTTTTTCAGAAAAGTCACCTGAAAGTTTCATGCCTTCCAGCAATATTTAGAAATTTCGATGGCAGCACTTTCAGTACCTAGGTCCTGTCTGACAAATCTTCAAGTAAAATTTATGACCATGGCCTCCCTTCAATTCTGGTGTCCTGGTGTTTCCTTTCGATCCCTTCTGTGTCAGCAAGATCGCAGCACATTTCCCTTCCCTGCTACCCAGGACTTTTTTTTAGACTAAATCCTTTGTTCCTACATTTGCCCAAGGTGGAGAATCCTCTTGCTCAGATTCCAGAACTGGAAGGTTGTTTGGATCTTTTTAAAATATGTCTACCACCATGGATTTTCTAACTCAAATTTATCTTTTTTAGTTTTAGTGTGCACTGTGCTTTGATTGTACTGCACAGCTCTGATTGTCATTCCTGGATAGTCACCTCCCACATTTATCTGAATTTCCCCATTCATGAATGAACCTGACTACTCTGCTGATGGTCATGAAATTCACTACCAAAGGGCTTTCCTGAAAGAGGATATTTTTGTGGTTTATTCTTCAGCACTTGTAGAAAATAGCATTTTTTTTTTTAAGATCAAGATGTAGGTAATCTCTTTCCTAATTTTCTCAGTAAATACTTAATGATGCCTTTCTGAAATGTTTTTAAATCAATTACATTTATATAATCTCATTATTAGGCCCCTAATAATTTTCTTTTTTCTAAAAATTAGCACACTGGCTGATTTTACTTCTGTTCAGAAAGCACCTTACTGTTCAGATGATGAATTTGCTGTCTGTGAAAGAAAGGAATGGGAGTGTGGAACTTTTTGATATGATTATCTTTGTGTCTTAATGTATTTGATGAATTTTCTTCTAAAGATTTATCAAGAAAATAATGCTTATTTAGTTCCTTCTTCATTACTAAATAATTACATAATTGTATTTTAGTTTAATTCAACCATTAGAAAAACTATATTTTTGCATTATTTATTGCAGTTTAATAAAAAAAAGAAGTTATGAATAACTTTTGGCCATAATAATTTGTG